CAAATCTCATGTGTGTCTGTGAAAAATAATGACAAATTAATTCCACTGAGGAACAATAGAAACAGTCTTCGCTCAGATACTTGCAGGGGCTGAAGTTTAGTCCTAAAGATCATAGTATATGCTGTGTACTCAAGAGGACTTTAAAAAGAAATCTTGCATATCCTGATAGGAACCTTTGAAAAGACTTAAGGTATGACTCTGCTCTCGAGAGATGGTAGTCTTAACCATCATTCATTGCTAATCCATGCACTGGTAGTTTATGTCTTCTTAAAAGGATGTGATTAAGTGACTTTAGGCCCAACTATCTAAATATTTCTTCTGAGCTTCCATTGCCACCAGAGGGAGCACGAGTTTAACCACTCTGAAATCAGCTGGACTTGTACTGGAGTTTTGCCTCTTAGGAAAGAAGGGGAAAAATATCTTTTGTTTGTATGTTTATAAATAGCAAAAGGAAAAACTTTTCCCTGCGTCTGGTTTTTGGAGAACAGTTGTGTTTGGAAGAGAATACGTTATTCCATTATTTCATTTCCATGCTCCTGGATCCAAGGATCAGTGACTTATTGCTGTCGGCTGTGGCCACAGGTATATTTTGAGGGCAAATTCTAGCTGGAAGTGTATTTTTTCAGGTAGATGGGGCAGAAGGTGGAGGTGCCCTGCCTGGCCTTTTTTTTCCTCTGCTTGATGTCATGGAGACCTTGGGCATTCGGGTATCAATGTTATAACTTTGCTGTGGGCTGGAGTTGGGTGAAACCCTGCCAGGAGCCCCTGCACGAGACACGGGTGGCATCTTTGCTATTGAACAGCTGTGGAGAGACCAGCATTCATGCCAATAAGCCATGAATCATTGTTTGAAGCTTAATGAGCTTTTGCTTTCAAATTTAACTAAGCCATTCCCCCTAAAAGCAGCTCTGTGCTTCCACCCCTTCTCTCTTCCCAGGAGACGGACTGGAAGGTGCTGAAGCTGGTTCTCAACAAGCTGCCGGAGTCCCTCCGCTATAAAGTGCTATTTTTAACCTCTCCTTGCAACATTGATCAGCTGGCCTCCGCGCTCTGCTCCATGGTAATGACCCGCGGCATGCCAGCACTTTGACTCCCATAGAGATGTTTCCCTTGAGGTTTCATTAGTAAACCCCTTATTGATCTATCCCTTCTCTTCCCTTGTCAGTCCTTCAGCCCTATTCCTGTAGAGCAACTCTTTTGGTTAGGGGTGATGATACCTTCAAGCAAGGTAATAATCCCTGGGGGTGTTAAACTGCCTATGTAGCGTGGCTAAAGAGCTCTCATGAAATGGATGGTATGTTGGGAGTGTGAGTTCACTTAAGGAGCCTGCACTCCTTAAGTCCTTCAGGACACATGGCATCAATGTCTGGTGGGGTGTTCAAGGTGTGCGTGATGCTATTAGGCTGAGGTTACGCGAGTTCTTTGTGAGTGCAGCTCTGTGAGTTTACGTGATGGATTAAGATAAGCTCCCAAATACAAAATGGAGCCTTGACAAACATGCCAAAAGCTATGTAGAGCTGGCCAAGGGCTGTAACTCAAAGGCTTGTTGCTAAAACAGTGCCTTTTTCTAGTACAGCGTATAGAACCTGTTACGTATGTTGAGGAGCTCCAGTGTCTCAAAACAGAGCCGTGGTTGTATCACCATTATTCTGTGAAAGTGCATCCAGGAAGTTTTGCAGGTTGAAAGGTGCATTGAATGCAAGTTCCTCTAGCCCCATGTCTGATTAGCTTACAGACAAAAAGACCGCTGACAGGCTCCACGGCATGCCGGAAGGATTCTCCCGTACAGACTTGCACCTGGCTGTGGTTCCCGTGTTGACTGCATTAATATCTTACCATAATTACCTGGACAAAGCCAAGCAGGTATGTGGAACAGCTGGGGAGGGGGGGTGGTCTGCATCTGTCTCCAATGCCAGCCTGTTTCAAAATGTAGAGCATCTCTTTAGGGGACAGCCTGAGGGATTTTCAAGTTTGAAAAATCCTGTTCTGGGGGAAATAGAAGGAGCTGAGCCATATGTAAGTGGAAATAATATAGAACAACTGTGCCTTTAGGCAAAACCTTTCTTTCTTGGCTTTGTGGATTAGCAGCACTCTATACAGTGAGCTTCAGAAACTCCTCCCAGTGCTGAAAGACCCCGACAGCCACCCAAATGTAGAAGACTTGTATGTTTTTAGGTGGCCTTTGATTCTCTCTTGCTCTGTCAGAAATTAGAATTATAAAACCTTACTGATGTCTGAAACCTCTGAAGTACTAATGTCCTTTAAAGATGTCACCCCATTAAATGCCCAGCAGTACAGAGACATCTGTGAGAGGTTTTGTTTTTTTTTTCGGATGGCATTATTAATGCTGACATGGTTTGAATAAAACTTATAGCTGCAGACACTAGCAATGCAGTTGCCCTCGTGCTAGTGTCTGTCCATGCCTGAAATGCAGGTGAGATGTGTTGGTAGCTGGTGGGAGGTAGCTCGTGGTTTTGTTTCATGACTCTTCTTTTTCTGTTCTTTTAGCGCGAAATAGTTTATTGCTTGGAGCACGGTCTGATTTATCGCTGCGCAAACCAGTGTGTTGTGGCTCTGTCCGTGTGCAGCATTGAGATGCCCGACATCATCATAAAGGCTTTGCCCATCTTGATTGTCAAGTTAACGCACATTTCTGCTACTGCCAACATGGCAATCCCTCTCTTAGAATTCCTGTCAAGTAAGTTGCAATGGAAGTCGCGTTCTGCCTGTCTTCTTAAGTAACTACCCATGGCTAACAGCATTAGTATTGATAGGGTCGTCATGATTTAGTTCATCGTGAACGTACGTGTCATTCTGGGAGCTCTCACCGTTTCTGGTAACATCACTGCAGCTGCTTTAAGATTTGAACATCTTGCCTACTCTGGGTTATGTAATCCAGTTTCTCATCTGAAAAAAAAGAGCCATCTGCATTGTCCACACATAAATGGTGCTGGCAGAGATGGGGTTGTCCCACCCTCTTCTTAGCTCCTGCCTTAAATAATGTTGCCACAGGATTGCAAGGCAGCACTTGCTGTTGCACCAGGACCAAGCAGTTCAGAAAAGGCAGGCGCTCCGCTGGACATTCAGCTTGCAAGCAGGCTGCTCATGTCCAGCCTTCACAAATGGTTTCTTGTTACCGTTTCAGCTCTAGCCAGACTGCCTCACCTCTATAGGAACTTTGCTGCTGAGCAGTATGCCAGCGTGTTTGCCATCTCCCTGCCCTACACCAATCCCTCCAAGTAAGTTGATGGTGACTTTTCTCCCATGTCTGGGAAATACGGGACGTGAGAATTGTTGCCTTTTGTAGGTCTTAAGTACTGCGCAGAGCATAAGCATTATTCATATGATACTAAGCATGCTTTATGTATGTCTGTGTCTGCTGAAGGAAGACCATATTTTGCTTCATGATGATACTATTCCTATTCCTGTTATTAGAATTCCAGGATTTTCTCCCCTTTTAAGCTTTGTGGTCTGCCTCTTACTCCTCCCCTGAACCCACTCTGTACCATAACCAGGTAACAAGGATTTCTCTGGGAAGCGATGTGCTTAGATTGCCCAGTAAACTGTGTTGAGATCTCTCCACCACTTAGGTTTAACCAGTACATCGTGTGCTTGGCACATCATGTCATAGCCATGTGGTTCATCCGGTGTCGCCTTCCCTTCCGGAAAGACTTCGTCCCTTATATCACAAAGGTAATGTGCATTGCTAAATTTTGTGGTGCAGCTAAAGCTTAGTGCTTTCACACCCAGCTGGGGACTTTGCCTGGGACCCAGCCTTGTCTTGGTCTCAAAGCTTCCGCTTTCAATCAGAATAACTTGCCTGCTAGCAATGCGCTAGCACTTTCAAAATCACATTTGGCTGCGGTGTTTGGGCTGCAGACACCATTAGTTTAAACCATTCTCTCTGTGTTTGACGACAGGGCTTGAGGTCCAATGTTCTCCTTTCCTTTGATGACACCCCCGAGAAGGACAGTTTCAGGGCTCGCAGCACAAGCCTGAATGAGAGGCCAAAAAGGTAAATCACTTTATTAGGGGCTGTGTGTACCCCCTTTATTGGGATCAGTTTAAATGCTTAACACTTTCCCTAAGCTTTATGACGTGAGCCATTTTTGTTTCCTTACAGACACTGTCTGACCTTTCCCATAATGTGTGTGCATTTGGAGGCTTAATTATAATGCTCTGTATTAAGACACTAACTTGGTAAAACTAGGGTCAGACTCCAGGTAGCAGTTAAAGATGGCACTAGCTGCCCTATCTGCTTCTGCAGGATGTACCCTTAGATTTTAAAAGCAAGCCATTCTGTTGGCTGAATGTGTCTCAGTACGTCCCTATGTTTTCAGCAAGTGCTGCAAACTGTTCTGTTCATCTCCATGTGGTATACATTGCATTTTAATGAATATTTACATGTCTGCTGTTATAGAAGAAATTTTACACGTTATAGAAGCAGAACCTGAGAACTGTGAGTGAATGGGTGGACTGTGACCTTTACTGCTTTACTTTTCCTTCATCCAAATTTGGTAGAACCACAATCCAACCCCTTGCATCTGCCCCTCCTCTGCAAATGAATCGTGGATCTCTGATTTCCTTTGAAATAAATTTAACACCCCGCCACCTTCCAGAAACAGAGGCTATCAAACCAGCCCAGTATGGAAAATCTCTGATGTAGCAACTTTAGAGTTTAGCTGCATAGGGAGTATTCATTTGTTTTTGGGTTTGTATTTTTAAGTATTATTTTTATAATTTTTCATAGCTGAAAAATTAAAGCAAAATACTGTAACTGCCTGATTCCACTGGGAGCCTTTGAAATCAATACATCAGTGTAGGG